AATGAAAATGAAGAAAGTTTTATTATCGTACGTTACGATAAATCAAATTTGTATACGATTGGACGTTACAATTTTATTACTATTATATTCGTATGATTAAAATTTATGGGTACGAATAGATGATATTCTTGATTTCTTAACCTTCACCTTACGTGAATTCAGCCCTGAACTATCCTCACTTTACGAAGCCAAACTAGTGCCGGAGACTTAGGTAGTTATGTGTCATTATAATCGTAGTATTTCGATCATTTACCTTTTAGGTTGTGATAAATACGATCAAAATACGATTAAACAATATTATTTCTAATGGTATTAATAATAATAATGACGAGAAAAATATATTAATCATATTAATATATTTGATTGAATTTTTGACAACGTTATTTCTCCCTTCTTCTAAAAGCTGCTTGAATCAGCTTTAGAAAGGAGCCCATAAATATCGATTAATCATGCACAACGTTTCCTTTTAATTTTGCGTTTCAGGTTTCCTGTCATGGGATAAGGATAGCTGTCATGTAGATTTAGAAAAAGAATTATTGGCATTGGTGGCACAAGCTCCCGAGGGAGAAGAAGCTAGAAATGGTATTTGAAACGAATTAATTCCCCAGAATAAAAGATCTAAATTTTCGTTTTCTATTTCGTTATAAAAATTCGTTATGAAAAATATATAAAAAAATTTTGCAAGCTCGTTTCGAAATGGGTGAAAATTTAATTTTCAGGCGAACGACTGATTCAATACGCTACAGAAAACCTCGTTACCGAGGTTTTGATTCACCCGCAAACGAACACATTATTGCAATGTATTCGTAATCTTCTCGCAAGTTTCACGAAACACCGGCATATTATACACGCTGGCTATACCTTCGGTGGAAATGGTTCCTGGATACTGCAAGTACGTGTCTCGATTATATGCATCGCGTAGAATTCGCATGAAAATCACATGTGGAAAATTACATGCAAAAATTACGATTTATTCGTATCTAATTCCATATGATTTCATTATTTTGAGATCACCGATATGCTTCATGTTTTTTCCTGACTGAAATTAACGCATATATTCGCATCGCAAATGCTGTTCAATCCAGGATGGAACCTTTAGCCTCGCCGATTTTCTGGACGCCTTCAGTGAGCACGAAGTGCAAAGAGTTCTTCGAGCGTATGAGAACAGCGTGACGGTAGACATTCATTGCGCGAGCGTTGGCGATTGGACGACGAACAGATTGTCCAAAGAGGCTTGCACCAGGTTTGTACAACTCCTCTTCATCTTTGATTTTGAATTTTCTCAAGCAGAAATAAAATAGATTGTAATTTTTTTAATAAAATTTTCGTATGAATTTTCGCGATCATCCATAGAGCGTGCAGAGTCCGAGTAAATCCCGACGACGTTCTTACCGCTGGCTTGTCAGCAATTACCAGTTTTACAAATTACGTTGGACAATATCTCGTTGCCCAAACGTTGGACCAATTGATGGAACCGTCCGATGTTGTAGGCAACATAAGATTTAGTCATCCAACATTATACGTCTTCCCCGGTGGCCAAGGTGATGCCGCCCTCTTTGGCATAAACGGTTTTAACATGTTGGTCGACGGTGGTTTCGCCAGAAAAGCCTGTTTTTGGGACTTTACCAGGCATCTGGACCGACTTGACGCGGTCTTAGTTACTAGAATAAATAATAGTAATGTCGGAGGCATGTCGAGTGTTCTTCGTAAAAAGAAGGAGATGCACGTTTATCCTCAGATTGGACACTTTTTCTGTAATCTAGTCGTAAGTAAACAATTCACGTAATTAATTCTTCTTTTTTTTTCTTTTTTAATCTATCGATATAACATTTAATATAAATTTTCTCTCGAAGATATATAAATTTTAAAGAAATGGAGAATTACGAAAATTTCTTGTTATTGTTCTTTAACACTTTTTTAATCTCGCAATCGATATAACATTTAATATAAATTTTCTCTCGAAGATTTATAAATTTTAAAGAAATGGAGAATTACGAAAATTTCTTGTTATTGTTCTTTAACACTTTTTTAATCTCGCAATCGATATAACATTTGATAAATTTTCTCTCGAAGATATATAAATTTTGAACAAATGGAGAATTAAGAAAATTTTTTGTTATTGTTCTTTAACACTTTTTTAATCTCGCAATCGATATAACATTTGATAAATTTTTTCTCGAAGATATATAAATTTTGAAGAAATGGAGAATTTCTTATTATTGTTCTTTAACACGATCTTTAACACTTTTTTAATCTCACAATCGATATAACATTTGATAAATTTTTTCTCGAAGATATATAAATTTTGAAGAAATGGAGAATTTCTTATTATTGTTCTTTAACACGATCTTTAACACTTTTTTAATCTCACAATCGATATAACATTTGATAAATTTTCTCTCGAAGATATATAAATTTTGAACAAATGGAAAATTACGAAAATTTTTTGTTATTGTTCTTTAACACTTTTTTAATCTCACAATCGATATAACATTTAACATAAATTTTCTCTCGAAGATATATAAATTTTAAAGAAATGGAGAATTACGAAAATTTCTTGTTATTGTTTTTTAATAATGTCGCACTTTTTTAATCTCGCAATCGATATAACATTTGATAAATTTTCTCTCGAAGATATATAAATTTTAAAGAAATGGAGAATTACGAAAATTTCTTGTTATTGTTTTTTAATAATGTCGCACTTTTTTAATCTCGCAATCGATATAACATTTGATAAATTTTTTCTCGAAGATATATAAATTTTGAAGAAATGGAGAATTACGAATTTCTTGTTATTGTTCTTTAACACGATAATATCGATTTTTTTTTATCTTGTAATAAATCGATAGTTTCAGGTAATAATAATAACAGCATAACATTAAGAAATTAAGATCGTTAAAGGAGATCAATATCTAATAAATTCTATTTTTATTATTACATTATTTATTATTAAATTATTATATAACTATTATTATTTCTAAACTGTTGATGTTGCATTGCCTCACGTAACAGGAGAGAAGACAATCCAATTCACCGGATGGGAACAAAGATATCGATCCTCTGATCCTTAATCTAACCGACATTGGCCAAGAAATGGTCGTTAATCTACGTCACATCAACTTGCGAGCGCATCCATGCTACAGGGATCCGGACCCGATCAATCTTTACCATAAAGTGGGCCACGGCACATTGGACATGTACGTGCTAAGCCCGAACAAGGACAGCCGCGAAGTGAGAGAATTTCTTGCCAAATGGCACACCTCGGACTCGAAATTATTCTCCGGCTCCCACAAAAAAGACTCGAACAATTTAACGTTCCCGATTCAGAATCTGGTCTCGATATGCGCAATGCTCGTTTGGCAACCTGCCAATCCCGAGGACACTATCACGAGAATCCTGTTCCCCGGCAGTACCCCCCAGCTCAAGATTTTCGAAGGATTCGAACGATTGAAGCATCTCGAGTTTCTCAAGCATCCCGTATGCTCGGCGAAAAGCCTTTCCCCATCCGCCTCGTTGGCGACCTTGCGTGACAAACCGGCCAAGCAAAAGTTCAGCCTCATAACCGACAAAGAGCCGGCGAAGAAGATAGTGGAGGCGAAGAAGGAGAAGAAAGAGTCGCCGGAGATGAAAGTGA